CTTACTTATAACTTGCGCTATCTCAGATGCTAGCGAAATGCAAAAAAGTTTAATGGAAAAAAATTGAATGAATTCATTTACCTGTGGATTTGCATCCAGCTCAGTTTCATTAGATTCATTGGCTGATCCCGATTGGAACTTAGCCATGATTCTTGAAAAGAATTTAGAGATAGCTTGCATATCAACTTTGACGACCGGTGTTTCCTCTCTGTCGAGCTTTTGACTCTACGACACTCATGGCCTGGAAATTTTGGAACTTAGGTCATCTCAGGTAATTCCCCGCAAATAGCTGGGGCCAATAAGGGGGCTTTGGCGGTCACACCTCAAAGTCATGGGACATAAATATAAATATCGGAAGTTATAACTAATTAGTTTTGATTTTAGTTGTATTATTCCGGACTCTGGACCCTTCCTGTTTTAATCATCAGGAATGCACGGAGGTAGGTGAGGTGATGCAATAGTACGTGTGAACTACTCAATTCGTTTATTCCCTGTAACATGCAGGAGTTTGAAAGGAAACCATCGTAAAATTGAGGACAATTTGTTGGTTTTTTTTTTAAGGCTTCCGGAAAAACTTCCTGCGTATATTGCGGCTGTGAATAAAAAATAATGATTCGTATGAAAGGGAGAAACCATTTATCTGTCTCTTAAGTATGCAAAAATCTGCATCTGTTCAGAGGTTGTTTCAATACTATGATGGATGCAGTACTACTAGAACCTAATGTAGAACTTTTTTAAAGAGTATTCGATTGGTTCTACCTTTAATGACCCCTTGGGGTATATAAGAGGAATAATGAAATCAAAAACGCTTTTCCAAGTTGTATGGAATGCATATTGCTGCTGATCTTAGGCGCATCTATTTTCACTTTCAGTATTAAACGTTTTTTTTAATTGTGGCCATGGAATATTACGCTAATACTTTTAAGCTTGTCCTAATCCCAATTCTCCAGTGGATTTTTTCCAACTGTTTTGAGTCCATCGTTCCAAGTGTTTGGTCCTCCTCGCTTTACGTTTTAGGTGAGTTTTACTTTTTTCCTTTTACAGAAGGAGCTCAGATTAGAAAAATATTGAACTGTTAATTTTTTTCGATCACCTATGAATTAAAGAATTTCTGATTGCCTTGACGGGTTCTGTCTGAAGAGCATCCATGTTTGAAAATCATATTTACCTAGTGCGTTATGTACCTAAGGAAGAGCCCAAGGGATTTGGATACGCCGACAAGTTTATGGTGAAAGAAATAGCATTCAAGGAGGGCAGCTCAAAGCGAAAACGAAATCAAATTAAATAATTGAGAAGGAAAAGAGAAGTACTACTCGAATTTTCCAGTAAATAAAACTGCATTAAAGGAGATAGGGATTTGCTAAAGCCAAGGGTTTACTCAAATGCGCCGTGCAATCATTTGGGAAAAAAGTCTCAACCGATCAAGTCATGAAAATTTTTCACAAGCTATGATCACATGACGTCTTTTCACGTGCTTGTCATCAAGCTGCTGAAGTAGTGTGTTTAACTTTACGTGTATTTCCCTGAAAAGGTAACTACCCCAAAATTTGATGATGGATTATCTTCGTCCATTGTTTATAGTGTAAATAATCAGTAGTTGCTACAGCTAGGGGAAAAAAGATTTCATCAAGGTCAGAAAAAAGTCAAGGAATTTCACTTTGAGACAGGAAAAAATTCACGATCTTGAAAGAAGTCGAGGAAAAGAGAAATATCGAGTAAATATGAACTCATTCATCTTTTCATAGCCTTTTTATGATGAAAGATGCTAGCTGTTATTAACTTTTTGTGATGTCGGTGTTACTCATGTACATAGCTTAGTACAGTCCGTAGATTCCTGACCAGCATATCTTCCCTACTGGTAATGCAAGCTTAAGTTGGTTTATAAATTAAATTGAGCAATTATTTGTCACCTGTTTTCATTGTCTTCTAACCTTTCAAATTCTTTCGTTTATTTTATGTTGATGGAACGTGTTAGACTGATAGAATATTGTTGAATGAAATTGAACGAGAAGCTGATGTTGGGTTTTCAAGGAAATTAAATCTTTTTTCCACGTTACGTTGAACGGGAACTATCAATTTATGTACACTACATATAACTTGCTGAGAGAATAAATATATTAGTGGGTGCAGAAAAATGGCTGTAATGGGACGTTGGGGGCCATCATCAAAACTAATACGTAAAATTGTTAATTCAGTTTGACAGGAAATTTTTAAATTTGTTCAGGGAAAAGTCAGGGAATTTCAAAAACTTATGACTGTGGCAACCAGTACAATTCCTGAGAGTAAAATTGGCAATTTGAAGAAATCACTGCAGCTGTCACTGTCCACGAATGCGGTCAGATCCACCTTAAATTTCTCCGAATGGTTAGTAAGTTGCCGACGGTGAAGGGACCTTAAATACCCCTCTTGAGTCTACACTTTCGAGCTTAAATGCTTCCTGGACGGAAATTATCTATTTACAGAAAGTGAGAGCGCCTTGCTTCACCTTAGAGAGACGTGTGAACTATCTTGTGAGCATCACATGAAAAAGTTAAGAATTTTTATCAAGTGCCGTCACCAACAAGTTGACTGATACGATATTACAAAACCAACAGTTTTCTTAATTGGTAATTGATATGTTTCTCATGTCATAAACTAGTGATAACTTTGTTTTTGTATGAAGGATCTGAGGTTTGCGTATGTGTCTAAGTGTGTGTTTTTTGTCGCACTCGGTGCCTTTCCCGAAATCTAAAGACGGATTGGTCTACAGGTCAATGAACGACCCGCCCCTTGTAGATTACCAGTCTCAAAAAGTAAAGGCGTCATGTAAACCACTTGATTTAAAATTTTTAAAGAATCCATCATGCCGAAAACCACTCAAACAATTATAATATCTTTTGGCTCAAAAAAATTAAATTTAATGGCAAAATCCACCGCAATGAACCTAACTTGCAACTAATGTATTATGTAGTAAACTTTGCACTAGGCGACTTCAGCACAAGCCAACAGCTGAGTAGCGTGTGGAAGCGGACACCTCTCTCGGCTCTCGCAGACTAACTGTGAGTACTGGCGTCTGAAAACTGATAAAAAATCAAAACAAGGACAAAGGCCAAAACGGAGCTCGTATGCTCTGGAGACAGTTGCCGGATTTGCGTGACCGTAACTGAATGATTAGGACAGTCTTTCCGCCAGTAATGGTAGTAAGATACTTTTATGTCAAATCATTCTGCGGTAAGATAACACTTTAAAAAATCTTACAAAGATTAAAAAAGAGCGAAACTACGTGTTATTACGTAAATGTAACTATACAGAAACGCAATATACATTTTATCATTGCATTGCGGAAAAGCCTATCATGGTTTCAGCACTTTCCGCCGCTTGCAGTAGATATCTGATATTAGGCACATTTTAATCTCTTTTATTTCTGTACGTTAAACAAATACATTCGTAGATTTAAACTTAATCAAGTACAATAATTCTTATTCTCCTTTCTTTTTACGCTCTTAGAGCCAGATTTTCACAGGATACTAACCACTGACTTACAAACTTTTTCGGACAGATGATGATTACGTCCTCCAAGATAATCATAGCAGAAATTGCGGAAGGTTTGAGCATGTTTGTGGTTTTTTTTTTTTTATCTCAGACACAAGTGATCAATACCGGTGTGTTTCATCGGTTAGGAATTAACTAAGAAAACTCACTGAATTATTTTGTCAACATTGTAAAACTGTCTTGCGTCGACTGAGTCGCTTACTCTGGTTTCCATAAGCCGTTTTAATTCATAATTTTTTCTTTTTCATTCGACGCCGTGAAGAGAGATTTTTAAGGAGCGTGGAATTACGTGACATTTTGTGGGCTAACTAAGATATATGACAAAAAGATAAAAATACATTTAAAAAATTTTTTTTTAGAGGAAAAGTTAGATGTAGTCTCTACTCACGTTCCGCGGCATTTGTAAGCGATCCTCATCCTTGGCATTTCACGCTCTTTTGTGATAAATATATGTTATTTGCCGGCTGGGAGGTCCGTATGGTGAGAAACTGTGACCGAGGTCTTGAAAATACTGCCCGAGGCCGTAGGCCGAGGGCAGCATTTTCAAGACCGAGGTCACAGTTTTTCACCATACGGACCGACCCTTAACCGGTAAATAACATATTTATTGTTTTTAAACTTGACTAGATTCTTTCCGAAAGAACCCGAATGACTTATGGCCGTAAATACGGCAAGATCTTCCATAAACTGAACAATTTTTGAGTGAGTAAATGGTAGTTAAAATAGAGGTGATGCAAATTTAAGAGAGATGCCGAAACATTTTCATTTCCGTAACGATAAAGGTGATTTAAAAGGCTTCCAAACATACTTTGAAACATTATTTTTACAAGTATCTGTCACAATCTGACACCTGTCAATTAGAGAGCGCGCAAGAAAAAAAAATCGTAGGAACATTTGAAAACCAACAGAACTAGTTTGGCAAGAACTGTCAAAAATCAGTTAATGATCTAACGGAAAGTATTATTTACTCTCATCGACCATTCATTCATGTACGAAGATTTACCTCTGTTCATTAAGTAAACGGCGAGGAAAGTAATTGTGAGTAAATTCAATTTTTTATTTTGAAGTTGTGAGAGTTTGCTCGTTTGTTTGCTGTAATGGCGTGTTTAACTCTGATCTTTCCTTCACAAAAACTAAATTCGAACGGCACACTCCAACAAGACACAAGGCAATTTAATGCAGCCTTTTCTCAATTCCTTCAATTTCTGTTGTGCAGTTTAAGGTACACATGTCCAAATTGAACGGAACTGGAAAGACTCACCAGGAGAGTATATTTGTTGTAGAACTTAAATTAAAAATTCGCTCGCTTTTTTTTTACTATGAACAAATTGCTCGAGAAAATTCAGATATTAAATGAATGAAAGTTCCATCGTTCAGTTTAACTGTAACCAAATACCTCACGTTTCAACTTTCTGGGTACTTTTTGTGAACGATTAAAATTAATTGCAGACGGTTTTTAGGCCGCTTGTCAACCAACGTAATGACACTATTGTTTATACAAATTCACTCTGAAACCAATATTTTTCTGTCAACCAAAGTGATTTGATAGAGAGAAAAGGGAGGATTCATAAGTTATTTATCGGCTTGAGGTAGTGACCGACGTGTTTGCTTAAAAATACTGCCCAGCCGGAGAACGAGGTATATTTATGAAAAATGACAACGAAAGTTGGGATGTACTCGGCGATTCACGAAAGCGTTACCGTGGCCCGTGGGCAGAGATAGGAAAATACTGACCGGGTAAAGAACCAATCAGATTGCAAGATTCGTTACCGTGCCCTCTAAAAAAACAATAAATGGAAATATCATGCAACTTTGCAAATTCGCCGGTTGAATTGCGCTAAAAGTAATTATATGTATGAGAGGGATTCAGGCTGGGGTAGGCTTTTAAGCATCTCTTCGATAATTGGTAGTCAACGCTTAAAAGATGATCAAAGGACTTCGGTATTTTTTCGACTTCGTCAGCAAAAAGCTCGGTTACTGACAGACCTTGAGCATCGTTAAGGGAGAGGAAAACTCTACTTGCTATGCCATGGTATTGATAAATGAAGATCTCAGTGTAGGGTCTGAAAATAGATTCAAGTTTGAACCTATACTTATTATACCAAGAATCAATTTTTGCATGACGTTGTACGAAATGACAGCTTTCTATGATACGCTGAATACTAAACGCATTTTGGTGGTTCTTACCCATGATCTTTTGAAAGACAGACGACGTCACCATTAACAACATTTAGCTTTTTTTGTGAAATAACACAAGTAGATTCCATGTTGCCGTGCGTCTGTACAGCAATAGATGAAAGAGGACGTCAAAATTGGTGAGAACATCACTGACACATTCCGCAGCACCTCGTGTGCCAGCTTTTTGTTCGTCAGTGCTATATTTTAACGGCACAAGGTCATCTCGTATTGAACAATCGAACAGCAACATGGAATTCATTTGTTCATCTTTCCGAAACGATAGACACCATGACGATCATTAAGACTCCAAAAAATGGTCAGTGAGACTATTTTATTGTTGTCAGTTTTATTGAGGCAACGTTTCGCTATTGAGCGCAGGAATAGGCAGGTGAAGGAGCACTTTTTCTATGAAGTTTATGGAGTTTCTAGCTCTGGCTTTCAGCCTATGTCTTGCAAGTAATACTGTAAATAATCCTGTTCGTTATAATTTTTAATAATTTCTAGTTAAACTGAGAAGTATTTTAACTTATAATTACGGAAAATTATCCTATTGTATCTGAACTGAATAATGTTATCAACCCTTTTACGATGTACTTCACCTCCTCAACTAATAGCTTTAAAATCAGGCATGCCTTTAGTACTAATTCATTTTCCAGCTTTGGTTTTACTCTGAAGTAAGTGTCTCGGTGTCTATAGAGTTACACTTCTCTGCTTAATCAGAGTTCTTCCTATTGATTTTTAGCAGTTCCCTCAGAGTCTCCTTCCCGTTGATCTGCGTCGCACACATCCTTCAGACCCTCAGAGTTTCCTCCTGCAAGGTCCTCTGTTTTACCCTGGTCATGGTCTCCTTCCTCCGGTCCTTCATGTTTTCGCCTCTGTGAGTCTTCCCTTTCACCCTGGTCAATATCCTCAGTTATGTGCTGCTCTCCTGGACCTTTCGGGGCTTCTTTTTCCGAGTCATCAGCAGGCCCACTTTCATGGACCGTGGTCTGCTTTTCACGTGTATCTTCGTGGTCGTTGCACGAAACACTCAAACTCAACGAAATCTCAGTATACGTTTTTTGTTCGTGAATAAGGTCTGAATGCCCTTGTTGCTGATAATCTAAAAAGGAGAACCACATAGCCCGATCTTCAGGTACTCCATTACTCATTTTTTTGCCTGCCACCTTCATACTGACGTTACCATTTTCTTCGCAGTATAGGTACTCCTTGTTTTTTACGGACTGGATTGTGAAGTAGTTACCTTTATCGTTGACCTCTTTGAGAAGGAAGAAATATTTTTCGTTTCTTGGAAAGTTTTGAAGTCTCTGTGGATAAAAGAAAAGAAAAGAAAAGAAAGAGAGAGGTACAACTCAGTGAACAGAAGCTAAATATCACCCAAAATATCACATAGAATGATCAAGCACATTTTCAAATTAGGTGGTTTATTTTCTCTGTACTGTTTTCCATAAATTACCTATAGGACTTAAAAGGGGAATCGATCGAGAGCTTCGGTAGTTGGCGATCATTTCCGTTATTCTCAATTAATGTTTTCGAAAGTTGTCGAGGCCTGTCGAGGGCTGACGCAAGGTGTCGGCTACTTTTCGCGTTCGTGTCGGGCACTTTTGAGCCAAAATTTCGTTTGTTTTCTTTAAAACAGTGAGACAATTCTTCACGATATGACTTATACAACAACAACAAAAGATAACGATAAGTTGCTATGTTAATCTCTTTTACGAATATTTGGCAAATGAAGCCTTCGATAAAACGAAAGAAGATTAGATTTTGGCTCTGAAAATGCGATAGAATGCATCCGGCTTTGCCTCTACAAACTTAAACATTTTCCGAGAACCCCTTCACCTCCCTGTGGCTAATTTTTGTAGAATTGATTGTCTTCTTGAGATATCCTACTAAAGTATTGCACTTACACGAAAGATCACATCAGGGCGGGCCTTCCTCACAGCCAGGTAATAATTGTCTTTTCCTGAACAGTACTTAAAGACGTGCGAAACTGTATCTTCGTCTTTCACCAAAAGGAACGCTATAAGTAAAGCAGATGAGTTCGGAAAAGCTCACTAAAACAACTCTAGGCGATCTCTCAAACGTGAGAATAGTAAAATACGCGAAAAGCGAACGGCCATTCATTAAAAAAAAAAAAAAAACAGGACTCGAGGGTTAATTATTTGCAATATCCAGTGAACAGGTGGCAAGAACAGAAAACAAACTTCAGCAATAGGAAATCATATAGATGTTTATAAAGAACGCGGAGAATATCGAATAGAATAGATGTACCAAATAGGATATAATAGCAAATTCTAAAAACCAGATTAAAAAGAAATGTATAGCAGCTGGACAGGAGAATTGCTGATTGGATCAAAAGGATTCAACAACAGTTGACAGTTGCCTACAACGGGTAGCAAATGTAGTTTACACGCCTCCCCTTACTAAGAGGTTGATAACCCTCCACTCAACATAATAAACAGAAATCTTATAATTCGTCTCTACTAAATTTTTGAAAGTCTCCTTTTCACCCTTTACACCCCAACATCAGTATGCATATTCTCCTTACTGTCCTCTACATATTTCTCAATGTACTGAAAAGGAGAATTTGTCTCACAATCAACAGCTTCTCTAACTGGTGATCATTTCCTTTATTCTCCTGACCTTAACCTGTGATTTTGGGGAGATATTGTAAGGAGAAATTAAATGCTTGTCACTTTCAGGGGTCAAAGGGTTAAGTACCGTGCACATTTAGGAGACGACTGGGAACGAGTCGGGCTCTGTTTCCTTACATGTTAGTTGATCGTGCGGACTGGTTCCTGTGAAGTTTACAGTTATCGTTTTTTGACCTTTTCCATGTTCATGAGCCTTCAAGAGGTTGCCAACAGGTTGTCCAGGCCTGAGTGGTAGGCCTTCACGAAGCAGGGATTGTACACAATAAGGAAAACTTTCTCTTCTCTAAAAGACACACAAAAAAACTAACATTAAAGTTGCTTTTTATATATTTCTTTGTAGTTTCTCTTTTCTCTTGATAACCTTTCACATATCCTTTTCCAACAATGTTGGTCAACATGAAAGCAACTTACACATGAAAGACGCCCTTAACAATGAATTCGAGGTTCATGTTTAAGAGCTTCAAGCTGTATTTGCATGCCCTTGCGAGTTTTCCTTGGAAAGTGCTTATTATATTAGAAAGACTATCTGGAGTAGAAATGATTCCTCTTGTCCTTTACAAGAGTCATCTTAACAAGTCCTCTAAGTTGGCAAAATTTGTCATCGAAATACTTCTCTCTCTAATTTCACGGGCTCCAATTCCACTGGACATTGATTGGAGACTCTGGTCATTTTTTCCATCGACACTACATAAAGAAACTTGAGAAGGAAAGCTTGCTCATGGAAAGGAAGCAGTTGCAATTGAAATTAAGGGTGAAAGTAGAAACTATTTGGGCCACAAGGCAATGTTTGCTAAATTATCCATTTCGTGCATCTCGAGATTATGTTGACTCACTTAACGTGCGTTGCCGACCATTAATCGACCTTAATCGGGTACAGGACCTTAAAAGTAATATCAAGAAGAAAGACTTAGGCATTCTGACCTCATCAGTACGCAATTCCACAGACATTCCGATGCCGTCTTCTTTATCTTGTTTGGTTGGGGTTGTCTCAGCTCCTGCTGTTTCAGAATCCAATTTTTCCTTTTTCTCTGGACATCCATTCCACGCTTCCTCGTTACTTCTTTTCTTTGAAGCTGTCTTAGGATGCTGTTGTTGAGGCATTTTCGAGTTTATCCTACACGAGTCCCTCGGAGGAATGTTTCCAGGAGTACGAGATCTTTAGACAAAACTGCGATGAAGAAAACGGAAAAGCTTTTGTTTTCCCATGGGATTATGCTTTTGAAAGTGTTCTCATTTACATGCTTCTGTTTTGAAGTTATCCTAGAAAAAGGGAGCTCAAGTACAGATTATTTTGAGACGTGCTTTTATGCAACTAGAGATCGAAAATATTCCAGGCCAGTGACCTGCGACTGGTTTTGAGAATCAGCAGTGAACATTAAAAAGAAGACGCACGTGGACAGAATTTGATCATCTCTGGGCCTTTTCGCTGTCGAAAGATTCTAGCCCACTTTACTAGAGAGAACTTTCCACCACTGCACGCCAAATTTGGCAGATTGTGCTCAATTTTTTTCTCTAAATCAGAGAGTGACGAGCGACTCTGTATGGCACATTGAGGAGCACCTTAGCTAATCCCTTGTGCGCTCAGTTGGATTCACGTGTTTGGTGTGGCATTCAAGTCTAAGGATCTTTTGGCGTTCAGAAATGTCTGAACAAGTCATGCCTCGCGCCAAGTAATTAATGAGTTGCCAGTAATCGGATTCCTGTGTTTGCGCAAAGATTTCTGGGATCGCCACCAGACAAACATTGCAACTGGATGGCGAAAGGTTGTTTCGACGTCGAAAAAAATCGATTTTGGCGAGAGATCATGGCTTTTTACTGCTGTTTTGTAAAATGGGTGTGGGTAATATTGATACAGGGGAAATGCAAGGTTTTGTTTGAACAACCGTGAAACATGCTGTAAAATCTAACGATTAACTTTCCTCCATGCGCAAGGGTTTAGTGAAACTGACTTCACGTAATGATCTCGAACTTTAGAAACGTTAGCTTTAGATCGCCAAGAAACAACTCAATAAAGCCGTCTCAGTTTTATGTACTTGTGTTAAGTCTACATCTAGCTTTTTTCTTAGCTTGGTAAAAAAAACAAACAAACAAAAAAAAATGCTACAACGGCTACAACGGCTACCTCGAGATTCCGTGCGTAACGGGAGCATTGTCCGAAATGTAAATTTCAGCAACATTTTCAATCATCTAGAAAATCAAACATGTACTGAGTTGTCGAGGTTTCCCAGAAGAGTTGCGATTTAATTTCTTCCTCCTTGGAAAGGGAGTCGTCAGGTGAATGAAATTTTGTAGATTAGAATTTTCGTGACAATAACAATATTTCATATTAGGTACTGAATAGAATCAGTAATTTGTTATTACCAATCTTTTTTGCGTTTCAGATCACGCATATCTGAACTCGCGGATAAATTGATAAAAAGTGACAAAATCCTGATTTCATAATGTTCTCATATGCGAACTTACAGAATGTTACCAGTTTTACACATACCTGGCTCTTACTTGCGTGCTATGTTGGAACTGTGTTTATAGGCACTTGTAAGCCTAACTGTGAATTAGTTCGTTGATAACTAGGCCCTTTATCCTCTAAAAGTTCCGGCTGCAAAGGAAACACAATACCTTGATTTTGTTAAAACTTTTTAACTTGTCATTGACGCAAACAGGCGTGATTCGGTGCTCAATTTTTCCTGCACACTCGAGGTTGAATGGATGGCGATCGCAATTCAGCGCTACGGTGCATGTTTCGGATGAGTGGCCTTTTTTACTGTGATATTTCCGCTTTGATACTTGACTTACAGATTCAGTAAAGAGAGATGACGTCTTTCACGAGCGTTGAACATAGAAATCTATCTCATGTCGCCGTTTGTCTACTCAGAACAAAACGTGGCGCACAAGCTGCGGACGAATGTGTCATTAATGTTCGTAACACCAGTTGACGTAATCTGCGATCGAAAAGTGACCGGACACTGGACAAAATGGAGTGTTTTTCAGGCATGATCTTACAAAAATTTTCAAGTGCTAATGTTAGACAAAAGGAAGTAAAACAATGTACTTTTACAGTTCATAGGCAATAATTGCGTGGCGTGTAATATTCAGCTATTTGTGTAAACTTAAACATATTCTTAATTTAAAGAGAAAAGTTGTTTGGTGAAATAATTTAAGATTAAATTAGGACCTGAGTTTTTTCAACCTATCAGAGAGATGTATGGAACCATTAAGGTGGGGCAAAGATTACAAATATGACTTGTTTGAGTATTCTCATTACCTGTTTGCTGGGTAATGTCTGGATATTAGAGGGAGAACTTACATGTTAATCATTTAAATGGTTAAAGAGTTTATTTTATCCTTACCTTTGACCGATAGAGGCAATGTTCCGCAACAAGCGGAAACCCTCCCACGCGTAAGAAAGGATGTAATCAAGTAGAAATCCCGGAAAAATGACCTAAAAGGTTTACAATTTGATAAAAATAAAGAAATTGAGAGTGCACACTGAAGAGTATTTTAAGAGTGTCAAAGTCGGTGCCAATGTCCTTCAATCTATACAAAGGTGATGTTAAAGAAAGTGTTTGATGAAAACTGGTGTTAAAAGAGATATTTATGGCACCTATATCGAACAATGAGTGATATCGACCTTTTCTGCACAGTTGTCTTTAAGTAATTTTACTTAAACAAAACGGCTTCATTGGAGACTAATTGTAGACAGGTGTGCCCAAAGCTGGAATATTGAAAGCTGGATTGAAGCCTAAACGTCTTCCTGTTTGCATTCTTCAATACTACACCCTTACACTGTTTGTTACGTTGTTTTGACCGCACAGAGCTTGATGTTGTCTCCAGTGATCCTTAAGTGTGAGAATGTGACGTATGCTTCGTTTTTGTTTCCGCTTGTTGCGGACCATTGCCTCTGAACCTCGAACCAGGATAGTATTGGAGTGGACTGTCAATGGACTGGACTAATGGAGGCAAACTTGCGGAAAATTTAATCGCACTCAAAAGTTGCGTTGCAAAACAAAATATTACTTTAGACGTAAATTTCATTTTCTTTGGAAGTGTCGTTACCAGAGAAATTTCACTCATCCCGACCCTCTCGTCCCTGCCCCAAGTACCGAGGGGGTGAGACGGGGTTAACAATTTCTCAGAATTTGTTTGTTTATAGGTGATGCAGCTAGACAAAGAATTCAGTTTGTGGTAGAATTTGTATGCCGCACCTGGGAAATATGCTGCGAACTACTCAACAGTTATACACAACAACATTTATGCTGATAGTCCTCGTTATAGGTAAGAAATGTTATCACTTTCTAACGAATTCGTTGTGAATTGTTTGAGGAAACAACTTGATCATTTGAACAGTCATTTGCATTCGTTGTAAACATGCTGACGAAGGAAATGGGAAAATTACGGTGCACTTTCGATTTTGTCTGGAAAAACGCTTGAAAATAACTTCTCCATTTGATTTCCCCTTTGCTTAGGGGCGAAAATTTGACAATTCCTAACGTTTGAGTTTCGGGGAATTTTCTGAAAGTTTTATATACCTTTGCCAAAACAGCGCACATGTGCCGATCACACTGGCAAATGTCACTTGAATTCTTTTTTGATGTCTGATAAGATGAGTCGGTGGTTCACCTTGACTAGGCTAGAAGCTGCATGCATACAATTTTCTGTAATTACTTCATTTAGATTGTCTTAGTTATTTTCTGTGATACTGTCGTCTTTCATGGTGATAATATTTGTCCCGTGGCAGGAACAGGCAGGAAACATGGTCCATATTAAATGTCGAGTAATCTTTACCGCTTTAAAATCACGAGACTTTGCTAGAACTAGGTTTTTACGTCACTCCAGCATGCTTCGAAATTCTCTAGCTCAGCTGTTATAGTTGGTGAGAAATCAGTGCACAGTTAACCAGCTCTTTGGCAAGGAATTCTCTTGCTAGCAGTTTCGTTGCAGTTTTAACATGTCAACGGAGAAAAATTTGATCGCGTGATGTCAGAACTGTTTTGTGCGATTTTTTTAGCAGAATTTTGATTCAAGGAAATCATTGTTACAAAACAATACCTTTTTTGTGCACATGTACGGACGATGCTAGCCGTTAAAAGTTACTGAGCGCTTTGCAATCACCTAATTTCCCTTACCTGCTAATCTGTACGATAAATTAAATAAGAGCTCATTAATTCCTGCGCAAAACAAACAAATAAAGAGTGTGTTGTGTTATTCGCCGCAACTACGTAGGAATGTTATTTTTATTGTCGAATTATAGCTGAGGGAGAAATAATATGATCCATCCAATCCTCAAAGGATAAGGTATTATATGCCAGTAGTGGTTAGGTAGCATGTGAGGGGTAATTAGCCAACGTAAAAACATCTTGATTATTATATTAACAACTTTTTAAAGGGTTTAATTGTTTGAAACATCATTTCATGACAAATAAACTTTCCAAGAATTTAGGTTAAAAAAATGAGTTGATAAGTTATGCAAATCTTTCATAAATAAGCTTTCCAAGAATAGTGAATGTTGTAATTAAATTTACAAACATTTAAATGAATTAGTTATGCAAATCTCACACAACATTGCTTCCTGCTTTCTTTGATCTCACCAATTAAATACGGTGACAAGAACACTTAATCAGAATATTAAAGCACTTGCATGTTAACAATATGTCTGCAGGCTAACAGTCAAAATACTGGTAAGTTTCTTTTGAAACATACCTCACCATAAAGCCATAAAGGACAGAAGAACAGTCCCTCAGCAGGGAGGGGGGGGGCAGGTGGGAGGTGGGCTTACAGCCATAGAGCTAGTAAAGACTTGAAGTTTTAAACTTTCAAAAAGGATTATGCCAAGCACTTGAACATGGCTCAAACCTCTTCCAGTTTCATTATTCTTGGTTGGTTTCATGCAAAAAAGAGTATCATGGCACAAAAGAGTGAAAACGTGATTTTCATGCAATCCAACTGAATCTCTCATCATGGAGAAACTGGTGAGAAATTTTCCAAGTTGTCCATCAGGGGAAGGACTGCTTTATCAGCTTTATCAAGGTTTTCCTCTTCTTTCAATATATCGTTTCTCCTTTACAATTTTTGTAGGGTTAGCAATAGTTGAACCACGAGTCCAAATAATAAGTCCAATAAAGAACCAAATTATCAAGTCCAACCAGTCCGTCTTATTTAACTGTACTGTCAGTTTGGAAAAAAATGTCAGTGGAACAATTCAGTGGAACAAAGATGGTTTTTTCATTCCACCCACTAAGAAATCTCAACATTGGGCAAGTTTTGAACGTGGTAAGTATGCAAGTGACTTTTTGAGTAAGAAAGCCAAGAGGGTTTTGGAGACTTTAATCTGAAGCAGTAACGCCTAACAGTGATTAAAAATCTGGGATAACCTATTGACCCTTCAACTCTAGGAAATGATTAACATGCAACTTCTCCCTTCAATGTCCTTACATTATACAGCATCAGGTAATGAGAACACTCAAACTCATTGCATAGAATTTGTTATCTCAATCTAACACCTTCTTACTGTAACTGGCAATAGTTTACAAGGAAATGTGTAGAAGTTGGAAAGGAGCATCAACAATCAGATCTTGGGAGTTAAAGTGTTAATCATTTATATATAAATGGAAAATAATTCAGATTAAACTAAAAACCAAGTTTAGCTACATCTCTAATGAAACAATGTAGCGATGGGTGACTATGAAAGAAATGAAATTTTTGATGATTAGGTGATAAAAATGTAGATAGAATAGAGTGATGGATAGATAGCTTATGACAAAATTGAAATAAAATAGTTGAATTAAAAAAAAAATAGATAACTAAAACTAACATTTCCCTTGTCTTCTGAGGGTTGATATATTGATTTTAATGTTGATTTTCTTGAAAGATCTCCAAGCAGATGATGAAGGAATTTATAAGTGCACTTACTTGGATGGTGAGAGTGATCAAGTGGGAGTGTGCCTTGCAGGTAATAAAGTTAACTGATGCTCAATGAATTAACTCTTTTCATTCCAACATCAATCTGCATATACTTTGTATTGTTCTCTATTCATTCCCTAAGGTGCTGAAAAGGAGAATATGTTGAGAGCTTTGCATGTTTGTCAGGTTGGTTCAAGGAAGGACCAACAGAGGAGAGGCCTCTCTAATACAATTCACTGTATTTTGAAATCTTCCCTGCATGTAAAATCATTTATCTTGAGCAGAAACCCCAAGAAAACTTCACTTATCGCTCATTCTTTGGCAACAGAGAGCTAGCTATAATGAAAACAGTATGAATTCCATTCCACTAATAGATATAACATTTTTAGTTTTGTTGTTGTAACTTACAGAAAAACCACAGGTGTGGCCTCTTTACCACACCAGTCCAAGAAAGGTTCATTTGGATGATAACCCCACACTGGGCTGTTTTGCTATGGGATGTCCAACACCAGACATCATTTGGTTTAAAGATAATTTACCATTAACTGCACTAGGCAAAGACCATCACTTTTCCGTTGACACCAAGACACCCCAGATTGGAAATCGTACATCAGACTTGGAGATAAAGGCAGTTCAATTTGATGATAAAGGGGACTATGTTTGTGCAGCTCATAATGCTCTTGGAAGTTACAACTACACAATATCACTTTATGTTACAGGTAATGCTGTATTATATTTACTAATTATGATGCTGGAATCAGTTCCATGTATTCTAATGTGTTTCACATCTATGCCAGTTGCAAAATAATTGTTAAAAATTTGAAAATATGATGTTAAATACAAAGCAAAGAATGGAGATAGAAACAAGTGGAAACTTAAATCCAAGCTAGGTGTCTACAATTTGCCCCTATGAATTTTGGACAGCTAGTGCTGCTGCATAAATTAACATTTATTTTACAAACTTTTATGCTGTTGAACCCACAACAGCACAAATTAATAATTGTAACTTATTTTTTCATTATTTTGTATTATTCTGTAAGAGGTGAACCAAGTACTTTCTCTCCACTTACTGCTTAACCTTGATTATTTGATTTTGCAGAAGATGAGAAACGATATCTTCCTACAATAGAAGCACAGAAACCAAAGTACACTGCTGAAGTTGCTACCGACGTAACCCTCTTTTGTGTGGGGGAAGACGTCGAAAAGGTCTTTAGCACCTTTGTTTTTTGGAAATTCAAAGGAGAAACACTCTTAAATTCTAGTAAACACTACACAGTAAATGATTTTTACACCCATGAGGCAGGGAGTACACCTAAAGTACGAACAGAACTCACCTTGTTAAACTTGAGCTATGAGGATAGTGGAAATTACTCTTGTGTGGTGAAATATGGACGTGGCATTAAAAGTGATACAGTTATACTTGAGGTGGTTCCAAGAGGTATGAAACCATTTTGTTATATAATGAATTTAATAGGATAATGTGATTGACTTGGGTGTGGCACCTCCAAAGAACTGTTTTGCCAATCATGACTGATGTTTGATCAATATTTGACCATGCCTTTTGATTGATTGTATTTTTTTCCCATGGTTAGTGGCACAAGTGGCATTTGACACATTAACCCTCACCCTTAAAAATAGTACTTCTTTTAAAATTTACTATGTGCTACTTTTGAGAGAACCTAAGCTTACAAGCCATAATGGATTTTATTTTGTTTCCTTGCTCTTAATCTGGTATTTTTTTCTTTACCAATTGTTACATTTTACATGTAATGGCAAATGGAATAAATAAGTTTTGTACTGATTGGTGATGGTACACTGAAAATGATAGCTGCAGGATAGGAATTCTGGAAGCCACCACCCAAGCTCACCCCCTTTCCCCCTCCCCCACCCTTACCCCATCCCCTTCCCCTACCCCCTCCTTCTTTGCCTTACCCCCTCCCCCCTTTTTACCTTAAGGTCTGCGTCCACTGCTTTATGAATTAGAATATTTTTGTTTACATCAGAATGCTTGATAAACACTAATTTTTGTTTCAAACCAAAAATTGAGATATTTGGGTGTAAAAAGCTATGAGTGAAATGAGGTAGCTAGGCCATTTGATTATTTATTTATTTTATAACATTTTTACAACATTTGAAAGAAATGCAGTGGTTAATAATCATTCATTACTTTTTAAGCTCCAGATGGCAAGATGGAACTATGGTTGATTATTGTCATTTCTCTTGTGGTGTTTTTGGCACTGGCTCTTGTAGTTTTAATCTTTGTTTTGTGGTGTAAGAAAAGACACTGGCAGAAAATGAAAGCTGCTGCTGAAAAATGTAAGCGACTCCATTTTGATGATAAAAACGCATAGCACAAGGGCATTTATACTGCAAGTCATCAGGGGCACTGTGAATATGATACTTATTCCCTCTTTCCTTGTGCAATCCCTAGCTTAGGGGAGTAGAAAAAATATCCTGGCCTTTGATGAACTCAGGCAAGTAAAGCATTTGGTAAAGAGCTCTGAGTTGAAGCTGTGCATGGACACTTTTAGGGAAATTCTATCGACTGGCGCCGTGGTTTTTTTTTTTTTTTTTTTTTTTTTCGTAAAAAAGGTACTACTTACAACTGACATTTATGAAGAGATGTCTCTCTCATCTTTGCGGCAGGGATTTGTTGGTCCTCTTTAGCTCTCTCTTTTTTTCGGGGGGGGGGGGGGATACTCTGTTTTGCACAAGCCATGTAATGTGCCTATGACTCCCCTTCAATATGGAATTGTTGCCAGGTGTACCTCGTTTTAAAGGTTATCAGCATGGCTCAAAGTGCCCTTAGATGTATCAAAATTAGCATGTTACTTTTGAAAACGTGTGGTGGTGCTACTAAAAAACCATTCTGGTTTTTCTGGTTTTTAGTAGCACCACCACATCAGCGCTCACGTCTTCGCCGGAAATCTCCATTGGAATAATCACGACCAGTTATGAATTTCAAACTGAGATGACGATGGTATCGCATTTGGCTTTGAATCGTGGACCACTGAAAATTTCAAGTAACGCGCGAGATTCGTATCACGTCATTCCCAGAATACCAGTTCCCTTTTCGTTTGTCTGAGAATTGATTGTAGAGTCTATAGACTTGGTATTCCTTTTCTTGAACGAAATATTTTTCTTAACTTATGGAAAATTAATCGGGCATACTCCCTTATTGTATATTTTGAGTTTTTTGGTTGAGTTACAATTTTGCTCACTTTTTTTTTTTCACAGATGATAATGAGGATGGCTTCTTCACAAAGGACGCGTTCATTTCGTACAGTGGCAAAGATTACGATTGGGTAAAAGAACATTTGATGCCGCTGCTAGATCACAATCAAATCGATTATATAATTCATTCGCGCGATTTCGAGCCGGGGAAGGCATGGATCGAGAACATGGCTGACAGTGTCTATAACAGCAGAAAAGTGATGTTGATCATGTCCGCGAACTACCTAGCCAGCGGATTCTGCAAGGATGAGATGTACATGGCCGCTCACCGAGAGTCGGCGAAGAACGATGCTTCATTAATTGTTGTGCGCATTGACCCCAACATCAAAACCGCTGACCTACCAAAGATCCTACGGCACCGCACCTTCATCGACGTGACCAGTCAAGAGGAAGTCACCACTTGGAAGGGGAGGATTCTAGAGTACGTGCGCTCAGATAGTAGACCTGTACCCCTTCCCCGGTCTGCAATCGAAAGCGTTACGTCAAACGAAAGCATGCAATTTTCAGAAACGAGGACTCTTCTCTCGATTTTTAAGTTGAAGAAGAAAAAAAGGGTGCAGAAAAATCTGAGTAATGTTGAACGAGAGCTTTCTCATCAAGTTTGATGATGACGTTGATTCACGTCATTGTTTGGCAGAGCTTTGTAGCCTCGTTAGGGTAGTTTCGTCAGGTATATCGCCCGATACTCGACCATACTTGATCAAGGGTCAGTCAAGATTTTTGCAAAATATCGATATGCAATCGGTATCGATCGATGCAATTGTCGACTTTCGACCGACAATTGAGCTATTATCGACTAAGTATCGAGCGACACATCGGATGAAACAACCCTAGCGAAAAATTATCCGATCAAAGGTCGGTGTCCATTATTTCGCCATCATACGGTAAAAAAAAAATCCCGTCAAGCATGAATTGAAGTTTTTAGATCTCTTTAGCATGGACTTCGATCATTGATGTAGCATGAGGTCCTTTAGTTAAAACTGTACCGTGCAATATAAATTCAGGCAAGATTTGCGCGCGCTCATGGTGTGAAGGGTTTTCTTGGATAAGGTTCAATGGTTTCCTCGTTTTAATACTTTAAGTCTATTTGTAATTCAATCCTTAAAAGTTTTATTGGGGGTATTTGACTTTGACTGTTTTGACTGAGCGTCATTTTTTGAAAAATCTCAACGTTGTTTCTCAAAGTAGGTATGTCTGGATGATGCCGACCAGGTTTTGCTCAGAAGTTATCATTCGAATTTCGTTGTCGGTTTTTTGTTCTTCTTTTGTTGACGCAAACTATACTTTGTTTTTATGACGCGAATTGTCCAGTAGGGGTGCAGATGGGGCTACCACGCCCAGTAAAACTAAACATATCTAATGTTAAATTAAGCATCTTTTAGAAGAAGTTAGCAGGAGGAGACGTTGTAGCAGAAGTGTTTGAAGTTAGTAGCGGCTTGTTAGAAGACGTAGACTTCGTGGTGTCTTCCCTTGACCTTGGTATGCTCGCCTTTTCCCCAAAACAACATTGCAACACACACGAGAAATGGTGACGCTTCCTTGTTAGTCAGTATGATAATCTAGTACCCAACCCGTGGAGAAATCTGGGATTATTCATTCCAATTGACTCCTCCTAAATCCTCTCGAGGCCTGATCAGGTGGTGTTAGGAATGCGGCGCAGAAGATAAAAGCGTGTAAGCCACGTACAATTGGTTTTGCTTGTACATAACTGCTTGAAAAGCAGTTTGAGTATACTGGTAGAAAAAGGGAAACGATCGTTTACCAGTTCTAAATGTTCAACAAATTCAGCCAATGTTTCTCACTTTATGATTTTTTCTGTCATTACTAATAATATTTAAAATAGTATACTGTTTTGTATACTTTGAGGAAAATGTTTGACCTTTTCCTTTGCTATTTAATTTATATGGTTATTAGATTATTTAAATGCAGTCAAAATTGCTCTGGCATGTTATTATTGACCTACAGGTCAACTGACACTAGTCTTTGAGTCCCAGGTTTTTAGAGTAGTCGAAATGGAATGTCTAGCTCGTTATCTGATTGTAGATAATTCTTGCTTTGTACTGGATATCCATAGACTTTTGTTTTGTTTTATTTGTTTTTTCACAAATAAAAAGGTTAAAACTTTAATTTCAGAACTCTTTGTTAAGTTTTGTCTTAAGCTAAACAAAGAGCGCTTTACTGCCATTAGCAGTGGAACGCCAGTGGCAGTAGAGACTATAATCTAGTCTTGAGTCTTAAAAGGAAAAAGTCTTCCAGAGCGGACAACTTGCATAACATTCAGATGAAAGACAGCCTGTGACTGAACCACCCCGGCCACGAATCTTAGAAATGCTTGTGGCGTTCTACGGAAGGCGCTAACAATGAAAGAAGAACAAGCTTTATCTCAGTGTAACGCTCTTAGATACCAAGCTAGTAAGACCGTGGTCTTCATGTCACGCTCTCAATGTGTCTCCCCAAGCCTCACCCTTTGAATGGAAGATTTGTGTCGATTGCATTGTATGACACAAGGACCATGACAATTTGATTGTGCCAATTTAGTTTGTATACATACCAAGACGTCTTGGAGAACAAAAACATTCATCTTTTGGAAACAGAAAAAAATTATATCGATAAGAGCTTGATCACACAGATGTTCATATCTCCGACATCAGATGGTACTATTTATGAGTGGATGGCTCCAAATTCTCAAATGTTGTGTGCAAATTTCCAATGAACGGAATTATTGCATTATATCATTTATTAGGACATTGGATACATCTCAACATTTTGTAATCACAGAGACTGCTGGTGAAATTTGTGTCCTTATTTAGTTTCGCGTGAAACGACTTTCGTTTTCGATACACGCAACAAAACGGAACGTTCTCATCCACCGCTCTCAGTGTCGACAGATTATCAGACATGCAGAGGGTTTATTTCTTTGTGCCTAATTTGATTGGTGAGTGAGAACATATTGCCTTCCGAAGATAAATGTTTTCGATAATTTGTCGGGGTATGCTCGATTTCTCTGGCAAGTGTCCAGTTCAACTTGTTTATCTAGCCAGACCTTTTAACCTTTGCAAGCTGTGTCTCGGAACCAAGAAAACGTGAGTAACAGGTAACGAGTAACGGACTGCGGGTAGCAAATCAAGGACCTCCTCTGATCTGATTCATGTAATAATTCTTCCCTATGTCCGTGACATATTCTCTTAGAAGTAAGTCATAAGGAGAAACTTTGTGTTACATCTAGAAAGTCTTTAATTATAATGTTTAAACCAGAACAACTGATTTATGAACTAACAGCTGGGGTCACTTAGTACAGGGGAATGTTACTAGATGATGGGCCGCCGAGCGTGACCGACTTTTCTTAAAAGAAATAATATGTTGTCATCTTTGCGTGCACCGCGAGGAGAAAGTGAAGGGTGTCAGTTCTTTTTTCATTGTTCATTCACTTCTGTATTTCTTTACCCATTTTCACAGATTATGTGCGGATTATTCTAACTCTAGCGTCGTTTTACAACATGACGCGTAGGCCACTTCTTACTGTTGCACTTTATTTCACCAGTGGAATAATATTAGACGTTGCAGATGGAGTATCAGCTCGATACTTTGATCAATGTAAGTAAAGAGAGCTTATGATTGATGCCTAAGACGCAGCCCATTTGGACTGTTTAAACTTCTTCATTAAGCCAATAGTGAAAGTTACTATTTATTTTTGTTCTTGTTTGATTCTAGGTTCCAAATTTGGAGAGTTGTTGGATGTTCTTCTTGACAGGTATTTGTACCCTGTAAATTTTTTTTCCAGGGTCCTGTAAGGCACTCATGGACACACACCCTTGCCAACGTCATGATCTTGAACCGCGTTGTGAGCAAATGCCACAAACATCCCATTATTTTCAGGAATGGTTGAAAGAAAGATAGACATGGTATTAAAAGTAAATAAGCCAAATTTTAATTGCAGTTTCATTATGGGCGAGGAACTATGATATTTACCAACATATACTTGCTCCTATCTTGTGGTTCTTCTTAGGTGTGGTAGAATAGGAATGATGATGGCATTGTGTACCTTCTACCCTCAACACCTGTTTTTATTACAGCTGCTGGTTTGCTTAGAAGTCACAGGGAGTTTTGCAAATCTTTACAGGTACAGACTGTAGTTTTCCCGTTATATTCTTGCCATGTCTGCGACGAAAATAGAACTAGACGCTGATGTGTTACCAAACTAGATAATTTTGGAGTGGTAGACCTTCGTCAGAGCGAATTAGTTAGCCCTTCGTCATTCGCTTTAACAAAGGGCTAACGCTCGAAACTTCAGCGTAGAAACTCTTTATGGTGGCCAATTCACATTATGGACTCAGCTGATAAAATCAAAATATCTTATCATACTGCCCTACTGACACAGCACCACAGTTTCTTTAGAAACTTACCCATTTACTCATGTGTTACCAAACTAATTCGGGTTGTCATAAACTTTAAGTGTTTTTTTCTGGTATTTTTTTTTGATAACAATCACCTTCAAACTTCTCGTTCTGGCTGTTTTATTTGTCTTTGTTCTCTCTCTTCTTCCCTATACAGAATTTGATAATGTTCTCAATGGTGCATACTTTGTGTGACACCATTCTTTGCCAAATACTTTCGACAGATGTGCGCTGATAACACATTCAGTTGATGTTTCTGCAAAGACACGCTCGCAAGATCCATGGCTGGTGAGGATTTTCTTTAAGGAAGTAAGTCAACTGGTTATTATACTATGATTTAGTCTATAGTTTTTCCAAAATTGAAGAAAGATTTTTTCCAAAAAATTCTAAGATGATAAGGTTCTAATGTGATTTTTATGATTTATCAGAGATATTTTTCAAAGGCTTTTTCTCTTGAGGAATTGAGAGAGCGCTAATAATGTGAATGAGGTCGGAATTATATTCGTTGGGAAAGGAACTGAATTTCACAGCTTCTTGGCTACAATTTAACTTCAAAGTTTATCCGCCTCCTCACCTCGCGGAGCAAATTCTCTGTGAGTCGGAGATTCGTTGTCTATCTCTCTCAAGAACACCACAAAAGCGCCACCAAGTTTTATTCCTGTTGTTTTAACTTTGGTGTTTTATTTTTTTTAAATCACAGCCCATTACAACACTAGTAATTGTTGGCCAAGACGTCTGTGTTGCTATGCTGTATCTCCTTCACTTTTCTCCAGGACCGATGGGTACGCCAAACTTTAACTGAACTTATAGGTTTGGGAGATATTTGCGAGAATTTCTGTCTCGCTTGATCACCGGTGGAATGGCGAAAATCATTCTCGTAGAACTATTTTTGCCTAACCTTTTCTTATCTGATTTTGTTTCTTCAGTTTCCCTTGGTGGAACCGCGCACAGTCTTTGGATGCTACTGGCTCAGATTTGTTCTCCTTTTTTAATCTATCGTCAAGTGATTGTCTGTTTCCTTTTGCTCCTTCGATCACTTGGTGACTTAGCTGAACTGCATCATCAGCAACCGAAAAGCGATAAAAAACCTAAGTGATAGCAGTAACGCAAGTATACATTACTGCGATCAAGAATGAAAATAAACGCGAGAAAATAAAAATTATCACAACATATCCAGTGCTAGTGCTAAACTTGCGCGAGATTCTCTTAAAATTTTG